GTGTAATAGGACCAAAACAAGTGAAACCTGTGAGAAGAACCAATGAAAGTCTGCATTCAGGTGCCCTCAGATAGCCCCAGACCACAAGTAAACGAAAAAATATACAAAATCTCCTTCATGAACGGCTATATAAAAGCTGTGTACCTGCCCTGTATGATAGGTGTGTACATCTGTCAACCTGTCATCATATAGTTTGCACCAGCTACTTAATGACATATTGTACATATTCAGTGTCAGATTGTCTGAGCACGATTCAAGTTAAGCATCACTGGTGTAAGTTAAAGTTTTTTTTTCATGAATGATGCATCCTGCAGAAACTCTTTGCAGTACCATGCTCATTTCCTTCTTAAATACAGTCAGATGGCACTGACAGTGCATTCAGACCAATTCACATTTTTGTTGCATCCTTATGCCTATGCTCATTTTCCCCTCATACCAATACCCCATAAAACAAGGCAAAACGAGGATTTAAACATTTTTGCAATTTATTGAAGGTAAAGAATTAAATGTTACATTGTCATAAGTACACAGACCCTTTGCTGTAACACTTGAAATTTTGTTCAGGTGCAACCCATATCTAAGCATCTTTGAGATGTTTCTACAAGTTGTCTGGAGTCCACTTGTGGTTAATTTAATTTATTGAACATGAGATAGCAGAGCACTGATGTAGGAATCTGAAAACATTTGAATCTCTGTGTAATGCAGAAACCTCTGGAATTGGATATCCAAATGCAGAGCAACCAAGAACAAGAAATTGGAGACAGAGTTGGAAATACAAGCTGGGGTTGAAAATCCAAAAGGTTTGTCATGGGGTTGCTGGGAAAGGCAGACACACATGCAGACATGGGAAAGTGGAGACACACACTGTGACCAAGAAGGGGATCATGGTCATCAAACAGAGTGTCATGGATCACAAGCACATAACAACACCTTGTAGGAATCTCAGAAAAACAGGAGAAAATGGGGAGCTAGAACATTTTTATTAATGGTATGTTGGAAGTTAAAAAATTAAGGAGTGGTTGTGA